CATTCCCGGCCCTGCATTAACGGCGTAGTTTCGGCAATGACAAGTAAACGGGATCGGTTTGGTTTTCGACAGTCATGCGGGTGAGCGCTCACAAATTCGAGCGAAGATGAGCCATACACAAGGTTGAAACAGCGTGGAAGAACCACCGTTGTGAATTCTCATTATGTTTTCGTTCAGAAATTTAAAAAAATACATAAAATGTCAAAAAATGATCTTCACAGCACTGCCTTCATGTGTAAATGCTGATTTTTCGAGAGAAAGAACTAATATGATCATCTTGAAAAGGGTTGCAATGACACACTGTGACCAAAAGACGGCATTGATCGACTTTTTAAGGTAAGAAATACAGCAAGATGGTATTCTTTCAACAGGTTGCAATGACAAACTATGACCAGCAGAAGGGAGTCATCGACTTTTGCCTTGCACGTCCAAGTGGGACTCTCTTGTCAGGTATGAAGAAATAAAATGGTATTCTTTCAGAAGGTGACAGTGACGAAGTCTGACGAGCATAGGAAGCTATCAGCGCTTGCTGTGCACGGCCAAAGAGGGCTCTCGCATTTCAGAGCAAAGAAGAGCCATACACAATGTTGAAACACTTGTGAAGAACAACCGTTGTGAATTAATTGTCACGTTTTTTCTGTTCAGAATTTTTTTTTAAACCACGAAATGTCACAGAATTATCTTCACAGGGTGGTAATAGCAAATAGTATGTTCATCTTTCAGAAGGTTGCAATGGTAAATCTTGACCAGCAGACGGCAGTGATCGAAATGGCAATGCACGTCCAAATCGGTCTCTCTTGTGGGGGCAAAATAAATAATATGGGTTTCTTTCAGAAGGCTGCAATGACAAACGGTGACCAGCAGATGGCAGAGAACGGATGTTTTCACGATGACCATTTCCGGTTCAGGGTCACGTGTGGCGGATTGCGAGGGAATAAGAGAGGGAGAGAGACCCACAAAGAAAGAATGCGAGGGAGAGACTAAACGTGACTGTTTGATTGACTTTATTTTAGTTTATCTACTTTCGGTTCAAAATGCAAAACGGCACGGGGAGCGGATCAGATCACTTCCAGACAGTTGCGCGTTGCCGAGGCAACGTTTGACAGACAACTGAGCGACATGGTGAGGTTCTTCAGGCCTTGCTTGCAAATCCCGGCACTCGGCCTTTTTTTGATTCGCGCAGAGACAGCGGGACCAAGCGGTGTGGAAACCGTTAATTTCCGGACATTGCGAGTGTGTGCCGTGATTTTTTTCAGCTCTTACTTTTAATCCGCGCCTCTCTGGGCCCTAAAAATATCCAAAACGGCAAGGGAAGCGAATCGGATCACTTCCAGACACTTGCGCGTTGCCGAGGCAACGTTTGACAGACAACGGGAGCGACATGGCAAGGTTTTTTTCAGGTCTTGCTTGCAAATCCCTGCACTCCGGACCTTTATTTGCTTCGCGCAGCACAGCAGGTCCAAGCGGTCGGCAACCGTTAATTTTTGGACAGCGCCCGTGTGCGCGGTGATTTTTTTTGAGCTCTTGTTTGGAATCGGCGCCAGTCTTGGCCCTTCAAAAAATGCAAAACGGCAAGGGGACTGGATCCGTTCACTTCTCAACAGTTACGCGTTGCCGTGGCGACGTTTGACAGCCAGAGCGACCTGTCGATGTATTGTGAGGGATTTACATGCAAATCCCGGCAATCTTGGCCTTTGTCGCTTTGCGCAGCGACAGCGAGTCCAAGCGGGCGGCCACCGTTAATTTCCGCACATCGCGCTTGTGCACGGTGATTTTTTTCATCTCTTGCTTGGCATCCGCGCCACTCTTGGCCCTATAAAAAAATGCAAAACGGCAAGTGGACCGCATCCGTAAACCTCCCGACAGTTCCGCGTTGCCGCGGCTACGTTTGACAGTGCGAGCCAACGTGGCGATGTATTTTGAGGCCTTTACTGACAAATCCCGGGCCTTTTTTCGCTTTGGGCAGCAAAGGCGGGTCCAAGCAAGCGGCAACCGTTAATTTCCGAACATCACCCGGGTGCACAGTGATGTCTTTCAGCACATGCTTGTTTCCATCTATTCAGTTTGTCTTTCTGCAGAGACATCAGCAAATGTAAAGAAGCCTCGCCAGTGAAGAACAGTCTTTTTTTTTTTCTTTATCATCCACTAGTCCAAGCGGCGGGTCCAAGCCTGCGGCAACTGGTGAGTTTCGGAAGGTCGCGTTGTCGCTTTTTATACGCTTGCTTGCAACGCGCGTCATTCCCGGCCCTGCATTAACGGCGTAGTTTCGGCAATGACAAGTAAACGGGATCGGTTTGGTTTTCGACAGTCATGCGGGTGAGCGCTCACAAATTCGAGCGAAGATGAGCCATACACAAGGTTGAAACAGCGTGGAAGAACCACCGTTGTGAATTCTCATTATGTTTTCGTTCAGAAATTTAAAAAAATACATAAAATGTCAAAAAATGATCTTCACAGCACTGCCTTCATGTGTAAATGCTGATTTTTCGAGAGAAAGAACTAATATGATCATCTTGAAAAGGGTTGCAATGACACACTGTGACCAAAAGATTTACCCACAGGTACAGATGACGACTGACAGAACCCTTTCTACGATTGTTGATGTTGAAATGTATTTTAGTTTTCACGGTGTTCCACGAATAAACGTTTTTGGACATCAGTTCGAGGCGTCGTCCTTGACCGGGGTAGATACATAGTGTAATAAGAAATAATGTGCTACTCTTTCAGAAGGTGGCAGTGACTAACTCTGACGAGCAGAGGGAAGCTATCGGCGCTTGCTGTGCATGGCCAAAGAGGGTTTTCGCGTTTAAGAGCGAAGAAGAGCCATACACAAGGTGGAAACAGCGGTGAAGAATGACCGTTGCGAATTCGTTGCAACATTTTTTGTGATCAGAAATTTTTAAAAATCTGTCAAATGTCACAAAATTATCTTCACAGGGTGGCCATTTTGTGTCACTGCTAATTTGTCGAATGTGATAAGAAATATGATCGCATTCTTTCATCAGGTTGCAATGACAAACTATGACCAGCAGAAGGCAGTCATCGACTTTTATCTTGCACGTCCAAGTGGAGCTCTATTGTCAGGTCTTAAGAGATAAAATGGGATTCTTTCAGAAGGTGATCGTGACGCACTCTGACGAGCAGAGGGAAGCTATCGGCGCTTGCTGTGCACGGCCAAAGAGGACTCTCACATTTCAGAGCAAAGAAGAGCCATATACAATGTGGAAACAGCTGAAGAACAACCGCTGTGAATTGTCACGTTTTTTGTGTTGAGAATTTTTTTTTAAAATCCATGAAATGTCACAGAATTATCTTCACTGGGTTTCCATTTTGTTGTATTGCTAATTTTTCGATGGCAGTAAGAAATATATTATTTTTAAGAAGGTTGAAATGACAAATTATGACCAGAAGAGGGAAAAGACGAACTTCTACCATGCACGTCCTAATGGGGCTCTTCTCGCAATTGAGAGTGAAGAAGATCCAAAAACAAGGTGGAAACAGTGGGGAAGAACGAAGGTTGTGAATGAATAGCAATGTTTTTTGTTTTCAGAAATGGAAAATATCCATCAGTTGCCACAAAATGATCTTCACAAGCTGGGCATTTTGTGTTCCTGATGATTTTTTGAGGGTAATAAGTAATATGGTCATCTTTCAAAAGGGTGCAATGAAAAACTGTGACCACAAAAGGCAAGTAATCAACTTTTGCCTTGCACGTCCCAATGGGGCCTTTCTCGCAATTGTGAGTGAAGAAGATCCGAATACAAGGTGGAAACTGGTGAAAAACGACCGTTGTGAACTAATTGTAACGTTTGTTGTGTTGTGAAATTAAAAAAAATACACCAAATGTCACACAATTATCTTCACAGGAGGGCCATTTTGTTTTCCTGCTGATTTTTCGATTGTCATCAGAAATCGTGTGGTTTTCTTCAAGGGTGTTGCAATGACGAAATATTACCAGCAGAGGGCAGTAACGGACGTCTGCCGTGCATGTCCCAATGCGGCTCTCGCAACTGAGAGCGAAGGTCAGTTCACATGGTGGAAACAGCGTGGAAGAACCACCGTTGTGAATTTTCATTGTTTTCGTTCAGAAATTAAAAAAAAAACATAAAATGTCACAAAATGATCTTCACAGCGCTGCCTTCATGTATAACTGCTGATTTTTCGACGGAAATAAGAACTAATATGATCATCTTGAAAACGGTTGCAATGACAAACTGTGACCAACAGACGGCAGTGATCGACTTTTCAGGGTAAGAAATACAGCAAGATGGTATTCTTTCATCAGGTTGCAATGACAAATTATGACCGGAAGAGGGAATAGACGAACTTTTACCATGCATGTCCCAATAGGGCTATTCTCGCAATTGAGAACGAAGAAGATCCAAAAACAAGGTGGAAACAGTGGGGAAGAACGACCGTAGTGAATGAATAGCAATGTTTTTTGTTTTCAGAAATGGAAAAAATCCATCAGTTGCCACAAAATTATCTTCATAAGATGGGCATTTTGTGTTCCTGATGATTTTTCGAGGGTGCAATGAAAAACTGTGACCACAAAAGGCCAGTAATCGACTTTTGCCGTTGACGTTCCAATGGGGCCCTTCACACAATTGAGAGTGAACAAGATCCAAAAACAAGGTATAAACAGTGGTGAAAAACGACCGTTGTGAACGAATTGTCACGTTTTTTGTGTTCTGAAACAAAATAAATCCACCAAATGTATGTTGTTCTTTCACGAGGTTGCAATGGCAACTTTTGACCAGCAGACGGCAGTGATCGAAATGGCCGTGCACGCCCAAATGGGTCTCTCTTGTGGGGTCAAAATAAATATGGTTTTCTTTCAGAAGGCTGCAACTACAAACTGTGACCAGCAGAGGGCAGAGAACGGATGTTTTCTCAATGACCATTTCCGGTTCAGGATCACGTGTGGCGGAGAGCGAGGGAATAAGAGAGAGAGACCCACACAGAAAGATGGCGAGAGAGAGACGAAACATTCCTGTCTAAGCGACTTTATTTTAGTTTCTGTACTTTCGGTTGAAGAAGGTGCACACGGTATGCTATTTCTGCTTATTTGTTTCATGTCTTTTGAAATAGATTTTTGATTGTTGATGTTAAAATGTCTTTTAGTTTTCACGGTGTTCCACAAATAAATGTTTTTGGACGTCAGTTCGAGGTGTCCTCCTTGACTGGGGTAGATACATAGGATAATAAATAATATGGTACTTTTTCAGAGGGTGGCAGTGACTAACTCTGACGAGCAGATGGAAGCTTTCGGCGCTTGCTGTGCATGGCCAAAGAGGGCACTCGCGTTTGAGAGCGAAGAAGAGCCATACACAAGGTGGAAACAGAAGTGAAGAACGACCGTTGCGAATTCATTGGAACGTTGTTTGTGATCAGAAATTAAAAAAAAAAAAAAACATCAAATGTCACAAAATGATCTTCACAGGGCGGCCTTCATGTGTTACTGCTGATTTTTCGAAGAGGTTTGCAATGACAAACTGGGACCAACAGACGGCAGTGAACGACTTTTCAGGGTATGAAATAAAGGAAGATGGTATTCTTTCAGAAGGTTGAAATGAGAAACTGTGCCCAACAGACTGCAGTGATCCACCTTTGAAGAGAAGAAATACAGGAAGACGGTATTTTTGAAGGTTGTAATGACAAACTATGACCAAAAGAGGGCAGTAACGGACTTCTGCCGTGCACGTCCCAATGGGCCTCTCGCAACTGCGAGTGTAGAAAGTAAATCCACAAGGTTTTTTTTTTTTAATTTTTAAACAGTCTTTATTGAACAAGTCAGGATTCTCAGTCAACAGAAAACAATACGAACACGTTATTAATACATGCACATATTACAAACATTTCAACAAAAAGAAGCCAGGGGATTTTTAAACAACAATTTCAAATAAGGAGCACAAAGCTAGAGTCTTAACAGCTTTTTTGTTTTTGGAGCCATAATAGAACTCAGGTACTGCTTTGTTTCTGCTTCAAGAATTAAGAAAAGAGGTTTTGAATTACTCCATCTGGATTTGTATCTGTGGAACTTGGCGAGAATGATTATTAAATTTATAATGAAGGTTTATTTTGTGTTTTTTTCCTTACTTTTGTACAACCCAAATAGTACATTTTTCCAGTATAGCATAAAGTCAGAGTCAGTACGTTTAATAATAAATCTGGATACAGCTTTCCAAAATGTGTTGGTATACGGGCATTGCCAAAACAAGTGAACCATTATTTCAGGGTACATTCCACAAAATGAACAATCAACAGATGTCTTTCTTGAACCTAAGAAGATAATGCTTAGTGGGATAGTATTTGTGTATCATTTTAAAAGAGATTTCCCTTACTTTATTAGTCAGGAGGTATTTGTATGGGAGAGACCAGATTTTTACCCAGTGTAGATTATCGACAAAACCGGACCAATAAGTAATATGTGGGGTTGTTGAAATATCTTTTTGAAACAGGGAACGTAAGTTACGGTTATTTCTGACTGATGTTGACGCAAAACAGGATTTGCCGATAGCAGTCATTTTGGGGTCCAGGGTTGGCGTGAAGGTTGTTCTGTCCACCCCTTTCAAGAGGGTCAAGATTCCAGAAGGAATAGCATCCACGACTGTCGCAAATTCCTTTGGGGTGACAGGTAGGTTAAATTCATTTAAAAATTCAGAGTAACTTAAAAGGAAACCTTGATTATTGATTAGTTGACTGACCAAGATTATTTTATTACTGAACCAATTATGGAGAAACAATCATCTATTGTATAAGATGAAACGATTATTCCAGATAAAGCATTTATGAGGGGAAAAAATATGTTTATACATCAAGGACCAAGCCAAAAGTATTTGTTTGTGGAAATTGCATAAAGCCAAGGCAATTTTTTCTATTTTGTAGTCACATAAAAGTATAAAGTTAAGACCACCAAGTTGAGAAAATAAATAGTTAGGTATAAAGTTCCAAATAGATGAGCGGTTACCTAAAAATTGTTTGATCCAATTGATTTTAAACATATTATTGAGGGTAGAGAAGTCCAGGAAGTTCAATCCACCAGTTTCATAGGTATTCATTACAACAGACCTTTTCACATTGTGAGTCTTGTTCCTCCACAAGAAGTTGAAAAGCATCTTGTTGATATTCTTACAAATTTTCTCATTCACAGACAAAGAGAATTGCTGCATACGTAAGACGCGACAGTCCTTCCGCTTTGGTCAGTAGCGTTCGTCCTTTTAAAGAAAGATCTCTACCTAGCCACTGGTTAAGCTTAGCCTGGGTTTTGTTAATAATTGGGTCGAAGTTCGCTGTACATCGCATGGCCTCATTTTTTTATCATGGTTATCCCGAGATAGGTAACCTTTTCTCCAACTGGGATGATGCAGATCAAAGTCCCATTCCGGTCATGGATAGGGAACAGTTCACATTTGTTGAGATTTAGGTGGAGACCAGAGGCCGCTGAGAACTGTTCGACCGTTTTAATCGCAGCAGAGACTTGGCTAGAGTTCTTTAGGAATAAGGTAGTGTCATCTGCAAGCTGACTGATCAGGATTTCTCTGCCTGCAATAGACATCCCTTGGATGGCACTTCTTCTGATATGACAGGTGAGGAGTTGCGTACACAGTAGAAACAGAAATGGTGAGGCCGGACAGCCTTGGCGCACTCCTCGATTTAAAGAAAATCTTGGAGAGGTGACATTTCTCAGTTTGATGGAGCTATTGCCATTGGCATACATAGTCTTGACAACTTTACAAAAGAAATCACCAAATCCGAATTGTTCCATGCAGCGAAAAATGAACTCATGTTCTGTTCAGATATTATTCCTCTCTGTTAGTTGGATTTGAAAGAAACAATGTAGAATGCTGTTGAAGGTATTTCCTGCTTACTGTGATTACAATCACCTTTGGTACCACCTCACCCCCACCACTTTTAGGACCCCTCCAGAGGACATGCCAACACCAAAAGAGGAACTGTTATCTCTAGTTTTTGTGTTGCAGCTATTGAGGGACTGCGCCTTACTATGAGTACTATTGATCCCATTCTCTTTCCTGAACATCTGTTTGCACACTTAAAACAACGTATGTAGTGTTAAATTTTATCGTCTTCCTCCTTGGTTGTTTAACGGCCCCCTCAAGTGTCTTCTGTTGTCCCCCCGCACCTTGGGTAACGTGATGGTTTCCACCAGCTTGAGCAGAGATACATGGAAGACTGGGTGGACTCTGAGAGTGGGTGGCAGACGAAGCCTGACCGACACAGGGTTTATTATGCGCTCTATGTCAAACGGACCAATGAACCTAGGGCCCAGCTTGCGGGAAGTCCCGGCCAGATGGAGGTCACGTGTGGAGAGCCAAATCTTTTGCCCCGGACGGTAGTCAGGTGCAGGGCGGCAATGGCGGTCGGCAATCTTAGAGTTACGGTCAGCTGTGCGAGACAAGGCCGCTCTGGTCTCCCTCCAGACACGATGTGCCCGCTTGAGATGGTGCTGAATGGACGGAATGGACTTGGCTTTCCTAAGAGGGAAACAGAGGGGGTTGATTGCTGTAGGCGGCCATAGATGGAGAATTGTCCGTTGCTGATGAGACCAGGGTGTTGTGTGCATAATCGATCCATGGCAGATGTTCGGCCCAGGATGCCGGCTGGTGCAGGCACACACACCGGATGGCAGCCTCCAGGTCCTGGTTGACCCGTTCGCTTTGGCCGTTAGTCTGGGGGTGGTATCCTCAAGACAGACTGGATGAAGCACCGAGTGACTGACAAAACTTCTTCCAAACCTGGGAGACAAACTGAGGACCCCGGTCCAACACAATGTCTGTTGGCAGGCCATGGACTCGAAAAACGTTTTGGACGAGGAGTCGAGCGGTTTCGAAAGAAGACGGAAGCCTGGGCAGGGCCACAAAATGAGCCAGTTTTGAGAAACGATCGACTACGGTGAGGATAACTGACCTTCCTTTGGAGACGGGCAGACCAGTGACAAAATCCAGCAAGATGTGCGACCAAGGACGGGATGGCACAGGTCATGGTTGCAGCAATCCTGCCGGAGGCCGCCGAGAAGACTTTCCGCAGGCACAAACTGGGCAGGCACCCACATACTCTTAAATGTCCTTGAGCATGTCTGGCCACCAAAAACGTTGGGTGATGACAGCGTGAGTGCGACGAATCCCAGGATGGCATGCAATCGTAGAGGCGTGTCCCCACTTGAGCACCCCGGCACGGTTTTGGGCAGGGACGAACAAACACCCGGCTGGGCAACCCTCAGGGATAGATGTATCATTCAAAGCCTCCATGATGTGTCGCTCGACCTCCCATCGAAGCATGCCCACGATGCATTGGCTGTCATGTTCCGTATTCGACAGCAGGTGGCAGGCATTCATTCTGCCGCCTGCACACCTGTGGCGCATTTGTTCTGGATTACACTTGCTATATCTAGGCACTCCGGCTGTCAACTCATTGCCGGAGTATTGCTTGCCGTGCCACTGCTATTGCCCATGCTAGTATTTCGTATTCGCACTCGATTGCTATTCGCTACTATTTCATCATCCCAGTGGGATTCTCTTTAACGCGTAGTTCTTCGAGTAAATTGTCTTATCTTTTCCTTGCCGTTTTTTGCAAGCGCTTTCTTTTCCTCACGTTACATTATTTCCTGGTTCTCGTTTTGACCAGCGTTTTCTGTTTTCCTTTTGACGGTGTTTTTTCGTTTGTAATAAATATTATTTGTTAGACAAGACCTTGTCAGTGCCTGCTATTTCGGGGATCCACCTATTCTTGTTCGCTCCGTTGCGTACGAAGCAGTTCTCTCTTTCTGCCTAGTACGCAACGTGACATTGGCTTGGCATGATCGTCTTGGACCTGGTCTCATTTACCGTAGAGTCATGGAGTCATGAGAGGGCGTCCAGCTTGTGGTTTTAGGAGCCCTTCTGGTAGATAAGCGTGCAGTTGAACCGGGTGAAGAGCAGGGCCCATCATGCCTGCCGTGAGTTCAACCTTTTAGCAGTTCTGATGTAAGCCAGGTTCTTGTAGTCCGTGTAAACTGTGAATGGGTCCTTGGCCCCCTCTAACCAGTGACGCCATTCTTGGAGTGCCAAAACGATAGCCAGCAGTTCGCGGTTCCCGACGTCGTAATGGGCTTCGGCCGAGGTGAGCTTCCGGGAGAAAAAGGCACAGGGGTGGAGTTTCTGGTCGACCGGGGAACGCTGGGACAGTACCACCCCCACTCCTGAATCTGAAGCGTCAACCTCAACAACAAAAGACAGGTCAGGATTAGGGTGGGTTAACACAGGTGGACATGTGAATAATTTCTTCAATTCCCGAAAAGCGGTCTCAGCTTCCTCTG